TATTAAACAAATGAAGCTTGTTTGCTGTGGGTCAGCATCAAGCCCCTGCCTTCAGTGAGAGTTTAGCCATCATGGGGTCCTCCTGGCATGGGTGGGCAGGGGTGAGCATCGCTGTGTTGCAGAGACCTTCTCGAAATCCCAGAAAGTGCTCCCTGTTGACGGCTGCCTCCTTCACGGGAGGGAGAACCTGCCCTTTGTCTCTTTATGTTTCCCGTGGGCAGGTTCAGGTTCTTGACTCCACAACACAAAAGAATTTGAGAGCAAGTCCAAAGTAAAAGCAAGCAAGGGAGTGGATTGCAGAGCGGAAGGGTGCTCTGCCAGGTGATCAGAGCAGACTGAGCAAGGGTGAGGCTGGTGAGGCTGCACCAACGGACGCTGCAGAAACCCCCTTTTTGGGAGTCTTCCATGAGAATTCACAGGTGGGAAGGGGCCGGGAAGGGGCTCTGCTGCTGAGCATGTTCTGGGTGGTTTTCTGGCGGTGCTTAGGCTGTGGCTGTGCATGCTAGTACATACGTGTCTCATTAGCATTGTAAATCTCCACCCAGGGGTTTTTTACTGTTATAATAAGCACAGGTCAGCCCAAGGACATTTATCATGGGTTTCTACACTTGTGTGAATTTGGGGATTTTCCCTTCTGCTCCTCTACCTCCTGGCTGCGGGACGTTCTAACCACGAGCCCAGGATGCAGTTTGCGCACCATTGGGAGGTGTGCTCTGTCCATCTCTTTAGCAAGTTTGCCCTCCTTTAAGGGAGACTATGACCCTGTCATCTAACCCGCCTCATTTATGCTATGCCATGCTCTGGGCACAGGTGGTGCTCAATAAAGGAACCCCAGATTGTCTTTACTGGTGGTCTCCTGATGTTCTTAAAAATTCTGGAAAATCACAGGGACATGTTGTGTTAGAATTCCCAGGAGGTCAGAGCTGCAGGGAACTTAGGGAAATCAGTCTGATATTTCCTCCCATGTCACAGATAAAGAAACTGACTTGAGCCAGATGAGAGCACATGGGCTCACGTGGCTCAGGGCTGATCTCCCAGCCATGGTGCCCAGCTGCTTGGGAGGATCTGTGTTTCCCACAGTGCAGGACTTGTGAGCCATTCAGAAAGCAGGGGGCTTTCAGACAAATGCAAGGTGTTTCGGTGGCAAGTTAATATATTACACGCAATGACATGGATTCACAGGTGCAAATCTCTTTCGATCTCTGTTTTCGCCTGGCCAGAGTCTCCGCCCATCGAAAGCAGCCTTGAATGCTTCTCCATCACTTGCCTATCCTCCTGTGGATGGAGCAGGCCTCAGGCTTAGAGCCTGCAAGCCACTGTGATGCTGCTTACGCTGCGTTTCCTTTTATTAGTATCTTCTATATATGGCACTGGTTTTAAATGTCAAAATATGACCAGTGAGTGTGTGATTTCTATGATAAATAGCTCTGCTTAAGTAGAGTATGTACTCATTTTGAAAAATCTAGGAAAACCTAGAGGCAGGTGTTGATATCATGAAAACCAGGAAGCTGACCGGGCACGGTGGCTCATGTCTGTAATCCCAAGACTTCGGAAGGCCAAAGTGGGTGAATCGCTTGAGCCCAAGAGTTTGAGATCAGCCTGGGCAACATGAGAAACCCCGTCTCTACAAAAAATACAAAAATTGACCAGGAATGATGGCTCATGCCTGTAGTTCCAGCTGCTGAGGAGTCTGAGCCTAGAAGGTCGAGGCTGCGGTGAGCCATGATTGAGCCACTGCTCTCCAGCCTGGATGACAGAGAGACCCTTATGACCACTTCAAGAGCAGATGCTCCACAGTCTCTGTCTTCACAGAGAAGGGGGTTTAGAGGGAATGTGGAAGTGACCAAGCCTGAGCAGCCTTGGGTGCACTCATGGCATATACAGGTGATGGCACGTAGGCCTGACCCTTGGCTTCCCTTCTTGATGGTACAGGGGATGCAGAAGACAGGTTGAAAGCTCCTGAGCATCTTTACCAGCTTCCATTCTCCTCTTCTCTCCTCCTGAATTCTGGACAGAAATCCATCCCTGCTCTTCACTCCTGGATCACCAGGAAGTCCGTGCGGACTGTGATCTACACTTGCAAGTCAGGCAGGAATTGTTAGGCACGTGTCTGTGTCTACCACACACATTCAAACACACAAACTTGCAAACACGCACACAAATATACTCACTCTCTTACCTACACTCATATACATGCACTTGCAAACACACACTCCCACATACTGTCTTCCACACATACACATGCACTTATAAAACACACACTCATGCATGTGTGTACACATATGACAAATGCACACAATCTTGTGTGACGCACGAAACCTCCTGCTCAGATACTATATAATATATCCTTGCCCCTGCTGAATACAACCTCATTCCAATCCACAAAATACAATTCACTGAACCCAAACACACACCCACATACCTGGCCTCCATTAGCACACGTGCACACACACACACACACACACACACACAAAGTCATCCGATGCATATAAACACGAGCACATCCATGGTTATGTTTTCTGCACATAAGCACATGCTCATTCATCTATTTTTATTCACTGAACATCTCCTGAGCTGCTGCTGGCTCGCTGCAGGGCCACGTGTCGTGTGCCGTGGGAGGCAGAGGACAGAGCGTCCAGATGTTCTGGAGCTGGGAGGGCTGTCAGGAGAAAGCAGAGTTAAGCCAGGTCTCGAGGGATGGAAAGGAATCTGCATGAAGACTAGCAATTCATTCATTCATTCATTTTTGTTTCAATGATACCTTTATTTGTTTGTTGGTTAATTGAATATAAGCCCCACCAGGGCAGGATTTTTCTTTTGCTCATTGCTTTGCCTACAGTGATTTGAACAGGGTCTGACTCACATTTGAGCTCTTAATAGATATTTGTCGAAATGCTGAGATTCGACCAGTCCACGAAACATCTGGCTGTGAAACCAAAACAAAACAAAAAAACCCAGAGGGGTGTTTTCCAGCAGCTCTGGGGAAGCTCCGTAACAGTCAGATGCCAGCTTCCGAAAGATTCGCCATGCATTCTGACCCTATGTTGTTCTCTTCCCTCTGCTTTTTGTCTTCAAGGAGGAAGCTGATCCCAGTGGTTTCAGCCCATGCATTAGACAGGAAACAATGGCAAATGTGTAGGATTCCTATTTTTCTAAAGAAAACTTAAAAACTGCTGCCATCTGTTACATACAAAACCGGTCAATGCCACATGGACAAGGAATCACAAGTTTGGTTTTTGTACGTCTTGTTCCCCTTCATATTCAGTTGTATACAACTTTTAAAACCAGAATGAAAAGCAAGCTGTTCTTTAGCAAACCATCTAACTCATAAATGTCACATTTTTAAAGTAGCAAAATAAGTACATTAAAAACAGTAAATATTTGTTGAATCAATAAATGCATCCATTAGTCCTCCCTGAGGGATTCTGTTGGGGGTGATTTGACCCATACTTGATGTGATAGGTTGTTTCAAAATGTTCACGAGGAATAAGGATCTTTTTGGCCCTTTATGGAGAAGAGGGTAAAATAAGTGGTGCCTTCTCTGGAAAGAGCGGCCTGGAATCAGTGAGGTTCGACAATCTTCTTGGTGACTTCAGAACTATGGAGAGTGGAGAGGGAGGGAGAAGGAAGGAGGATAGGAGGGAGGGAAGGAGGGACGGAAGGGAGAGATTGAGGGAGAAAGAGACAGCTTAGACAGAAAGAAACCAAAGAGCACCAAGACCGAGCATCCTCTGAGAACTGGGTGACCTGGGTCACTGGGCCTGTTTTCTGAATGTCAGCTGGGAAGGAGCCAGCCCAGAGGGCAGACAGGGAGATGGAAATGAGTAGAGCTTGCTAATCCTGTGGTTTTGTACAAACCCTCTCATGTCTCTGAACCTCAGCTCTGCATAAACTCAGGGCTGGACTAGAACAGAGTTTCCCAAAGCGGTATCAGTGGGCAGGTTTCAGGTGGTACCAAGACATGCATGTTTCTATTTTAATAACTATTTATCAAGAAATAGGAAGAACAAGAAATAATGTGCTGATTGCTATTCCCAAGGATGAGGTTGATGGAAAGCACTATGGAAGGGACTTAGGTAGCTTTGCCCAGGTGAGATGCAGGTACGAGATGGTGCTGGTGGACATGAATACTGATGTTTGGAAAATGCTGGCCTAGGTGACTGGAACTGTTACCAGAGAGGGGGCCTGACCCAGACCCCAAGAGACGGTTCTTGGACCTCATGCAAGAATTTGGGGCAAGTCCACAGAGTAAAGTGAAGGCAAGTTTACTAAGAAAGTAAAGGAATGAAAGAACATCTACTCCACAGGCAGAGCAGCAGCATGGGCGGCTTGACTGAGTATGCTGATCATTATTTCCTGGTCACATGCTAAACACAGGGTGGATTATTTATAAATTTCCAGGAAAGGGGGAGGCAATTCCCGGAACTGAGGGTACCTCCCCCTTTTAGGCCATATAGGGTAACTTCCTAATGTTGTCATGGCATTTGTAAACTGTCATGGCACTGGTAGAAGTGTCTTTTAGCATGCCAATACATTATAATTAGTGTAAAATGAGAACTGAGGATAATCAGAGATCACTGTGGTTGCCGTCTTGGTTTTGGTGGATGTTGGCAGCCTTCTTTCCCACATCCTGTTTTATCAGTGGGATCTTTGTGACCTGTGTCATGTGCTGTCCTCCTATCTCATCCTGTGACTAACACTGCCTCCCCTCCTGGGAATGCAGCCCAGCAGGTCTCAGCCTCATTTTATTCAGCCCCTATTCAAGATGGAATCACCTGGTTCAAACACCTCTGACAATACCACCTTTGCAAAAACTATAACAGTGAGAAAATGGTGGCGGTGAAAGACATCTGACCTAACCACCCCCTATCTTGCCTTTGGCCTTCAAACTGCCCTTGGTCATTCCTGGGCTTGGCAAACTATCTCTGGAAGAAATTTAGCTTTAGTTTAAATGATAATATCCTTTCCCACAAACTAAACCTCCTTTGTAAAGCTAACAAAAGGCCACCAGGTTAGAAGGCTGAGAGGAGCCCAAATTCTACCAAGATGTAGGCGTAAAGGACTACCAGCCATTATTCTGGAGGTCACAGGGTTTGCAACTTCTCCAATTACTCCTGAAGATAACATGAATATTGTAGAACCTAGAAGTGGCCTTTTGAGATGTCTTTTCAGACTTTTGCACTTCTGAAAACCACCTGGATGACTCTACCTGGACCTGTGACTCTTGACTCAACCAGTGCTTGTGGCCCCACCCAGAAGTGAATTCGGAGTACAAGGACTGATTTCCACACCCCTATAATTGCATCTCCAACCAATCAGCAGCACCCATTCCCTAGCCTCCTGCTTGTCAAGCTATCCTTGAAAAATCCTGGCCTCTGAATTTTCAGAGAGACTGATCTGAGTGATAAAACTCTGCTCTCCTGTTCAGCCAGCACTGTGTGAATTAAACTCTTTCTCTATTGTAATTCTCCTGTGTTGATAAATTGGCTCTATCTGGGCAGCAAGCAAGGAAAACCCACTGGGCAGTTATGTGACCCCAAAGGAACTTTCCAGTTCTGTGGTTTTAAGGCCCCACAGCACCTGATCATCAGTCTCACATACAGGTTAACCTGAAAGGGGAGCCCCCTGGACCTCCCTGCACCCCCTACCTGGCCCTGCCCTCTAGAAGAGGAGGAAGATCTTCTAAGGTTTTGCTGGGGCAGAGGCTGCAACTCCATCTTCATGAAGCCAGGAAGCATCCTGAGTGGGTGGGAATAATTCTGATTAGCAAGTGCCTTAGACTCTGAATAAGGTGGACTCTGAGCCTTTGCACTGGTCTCTGAGCCTTCCTCCTGGGCCACTCTTCCTCATCTCATTCAGGTCCCCGCTCTCATGTCACCTGCTTGGATCCCCTTTTCCTGTGTTCCCCATGACATAGGCCCACCCATCATCACTTGCTAGCCCTTAATCTGCTCTTATTTCCCTGGCTGGAATCTTCTTATTTACTTGTCACTGTGTTGAGTGTCCATCTTCTCGACTTTGTATCAGCTCCACGAGAGAACGGTCTGTGTCTGAGGTGTTCACTGCCTGTCCCCTAACCTACTCCCGGATGAATACACGATTGGCCATGCAATATTCTAGTCATCTGCCTCCACCTCTTAAACATGCTTTTTGATATTTGTTCAAGACATGCCAGGGTTGTTCTTTTCTTTCTTCCAGGGAAGACCTGTGAGTCCATCGATGGTACTATAACTAATCGGGCATTGGCATGTTTTAACAACAGCAGGTGGAACCCAGCATTATTTAATACCAGAGCCTACATCTGGGGTCCTCTGAGAGTTCACCAAGGGCCCCCATGCGTCTGATCCTGCTTTGGGGTGTCCTAGTCGGCTAGGCCCCGAGAGGCCAGGAGGGAAGCTCCGGTCTCTCTGGATGCCTGGCAGATTTGCTTTCCATGTTTGCGTTCAGCACAAGGCTTTGCAAAGACAAAAGCTTCGAGGCCTGGCTGCCCATCGAGGTTGCCCGGCTGGCAGGTCTCCATGGAGACTGCAGAAGCACATCTGTTCCCTGTGACTTCCCAGAGAGGGCGTCTGCCCTGAATCCACAATGCCGGGGTGTGGAGAAGCCCAGGCTGGGCCTCCTCTGTCCACAGGGAAAACAAGAAGAAGGGAGCATCTGTTCACACCAGGAGGTGGGCGGCTTGGGAGTCAGGGCAGAGACGGGGCTGGGCACAGAGTGGACCGTCAGGGAAACAAAGGTCGGCGGCAGCACACACAGCTCCTGTGCGCCTGGGGGTGGAAGGACCAGGAATGGAGGGGCGGGAGACGAGCAAGAACAGCTGCCAGCCTGTTCCCAGGAGGCAGAAGCAGTGACTTCCGTGAGGTCAGACTAGGGGTTCTCGCTACCTGGAGCCTAATGTCCCCCCAACACCCCACCCCCGCTTTCTGTGGCTCTTGGAATCCATCCAGCCTCCACTTCTCTCTCTGACTTTCCCTTGCTCTCTCCTTTGCTTTCTCTCGCTCCCTCTTTTTCTTTCTGCTTCATTCTGCCTTCCTCTGGGCGCTTCCCTGTCTCTGTGTCTCTGTCTTTCTCTGCCTGTGTCTTGCTTCTGTCCCTTTCTTGGCACCACCACTCATGAGCAGCAGTGTCTCGGGAGCTATAGAAGAAGCTGCAGAAGAAGTGAGAACCTGCTGGAGCTGTGCAAATGGCTGGCCTTGCCTCTAAGACCCCTTGCTCCTTGCCACTCAGAACAAAGCCCTCAGTGTTCCTCTCTGCACAAACAGATTGTCTCCCCTCTGGGCTCTGCCTCCTCCCTCTCTCCCCATGGGAGCAGGGAACCTGCGTTACCTAGAGGAGACTCAAGTTCACATTCTGGGTCCCCTGCAGATAGGGCATTTCCTGGTGGCCTTGGAGTGTGTCTACTTTCTGAGCCTCATACCCACAGTGATGCTGAGGCCCGGAGCTAGGGCTTCCCCATCGTCTCTCTCTGTCTCTGTGTGATCTCTCCTCATGACATCTCCAGCTTAGCTTCGGGGTGGTCAAAGTTCTGACACCTTGGGCCAGAGCTCCTAAGACACAAGTTGAGAGAGAGAAAGAGAAAGATAGAGAGAAAGAGAGAGAGAGAGAGAGAGAGAGAGAGAGAGAAGATCTGAACTGCTGAAGTGCCTTTTATGACCAAGCTAGGGGAATTTGCAATTTCCACTTTCCCTGTATGCTGTCAGTGAGGACGACTCATTCAGAGTCAACAGCAGAGAAACAAAACTATTTCTAGCGGAAGAGCTATCAAAGAATATGTAGATGTATTTTAAAGCCACCACACATAGCAAGAGAATGGCAAGGCTGGACTTGAACCCGACAGTCGGGCTTCAGAACGTGCACCTTGGCCACTCTGCTGTGGGTTTTTCAGTGTCTTCTCTTTGGGGTAAAAAGGCTGCACTTGGGCCCATGCACATAAGAGATGCTCAGTAAATGTTTATAGATCATATTGCACAGACTGTAAAACCCCACAAGGCCAAGGGCCCCAGGACAACACTTGCTGTCACCTCCAGAGCTCAGAGAGAGAGTGGATGGGTCAGAGAGGGTACATCAGGAAACTTCCAGAGGCCACTGGCTGGAAGGGCTAATGAGACCACCAACGTGCATCTGCCTCAACATAGCTCTGATGAAGATCTGCCTCAACATAGCTCTGATGAAGATCTGCCTCAACATAGCTCTGATGAAGATCTGCCTCAACATAGCTCTGATGAAGATCTGCCTCAGCATAGCTCTGATGAAGATCTGCCTCAACATAGCTCTGATGAAGATCTGCCTCAGCATAGCTCTGATGAAGATCTGCCTCAACATAGCTCTGACAAAGAAAGGCTGACTTTCCCTTTGCAGGTTTTCCATAGCAACAAGCGGAGGCCCCGGCTTCTGCAGGTGTCCTCATTACAGCTGGGAGCTCCTGGTTAGCAAACCCCCTGCTCCTGTGGGCTGCCGACTAGGAGAAAACTAGGCAACTACAAGTAAGGGACAGATGTTTACTATCTTGGCATAAGGGGCACGATTCGTTATTCTGGCAGGAAGCGAGACATGGGGTGGGCAGGCTTAGGGACAGGAAAGAATAGCCTCCAATTCTTGCTGGAATGGCAGGGGGTTAAAACGAAAAGGCAGAGCATATCCTTGGAGATCATCTAGTCCGGAAAGAGTTTTATTCACTCATGGATTCACTCACTCTCTCAACCAACATCCTCGGAGCATCTGGACTGGGAGGAGAACTGCGAGGGGAGCTGAGCTGTAAGTAACACCGAGGGCCTGTCCTCATGGGTCAGGAACGTGGGAGGGGAGCCAGAGGACACTCAGAATGCATCCAAAAGGAATCTATGTGCTGGACAGGGACAAGAACCAGGGGAATGTGCAGCAGGAAAGGGGGGCAAGAGGGTAGAAGAGGACGTGGCCCCTGCAGGCCCCCTTGAGAAGGAGGCAAGTGAGCAAAGGCCCAGTCGAGGGGAGGCAGAGGCCACGGGCTCACCTGCCACTTCTTCCCCTTAGGTGGTGGTTGTGGGGAAAATGGGTGATCAATATGGACACATTTTTGGGTGCCATGACTTGGGGGAAGGTGCTACGGGCACCTTGTGGGTTGAATTTGTTTGCTGGGGCTGCAGTAACGTGGTAGCAGAGACCGGGCAGCTTCAGCAACAGAAACAGACAGGCTCACAGTTCTGGAGTCCCAGATCCAGGCATCGGGGGCTCGGTTCTTCTGAGGGCTATGAGGAGAATCTGTTCGTGCCTCTACTGTGGTTTCTAGTGTGTCACTGGCCATGTTTGGGGTTTCTTAGCTCACGAAAGCATCACCCTGATCTCTGCCTTCATCTTCATGTGGTGTTCTCCCTGTGCACCTGTCTGCATCCAATTTCCCCCCTTTTCTAGACACATTAGTCATTTTGGATTATGGCCCCACCCTACTCCAGTGTGACCTCACCATAGCGGATAACAGCTGCAGCAACCCCATTTCCACATAAGGCCACATTCTGAAGTACCCGGGGTTAGGACTTTAACATATGAAACGGGGTGGGGGGCACAATGCAACGCATGACAGAAGTGGAGGCCACAGATGCTGCTAAACATCCTTCTATGCATGGAACAGCCCTCCATCACAGAGAATGCCATAGTGCTGAGATTGGGAAACCCTGTGATAGAGCTCAGGGTTCTGGACGGGAGATGGCTCAGAGCTGAGTGGCAGTCCAGCTGTGGAGGACCTGCAGCCCCGTGAAAAAGTCACCTTTGCTCTTGTGAGCCATGGAAACAGCTTGCGTGTTTGTTACACAGCACAATCTAGCCCATTCTGACTAATGCAGCCACCTGGTACCCTCTAAGAACCCACCCAATCCCCAGCAGGTTGGAGTGTCCTGATCATTTCGTAATGCCTGCTATGGAACAGGAAGGGAAAGTGTCCAAAATGTCCTCATCTGCACTGTTCTGGCCTCAGCCCTGCAACTCAGAAAACTACCCAAAGTCACAGAGTTTGTCATGTAATAATGTTCACTAAGTATT